AAGTTGACCATCCCAGACTCTGTGACCTACATCGGGAATCATGCCTTCTTGCGTTGCAGCTCTTTGGTGCTGAGAGTGTCTGTCTGTGGGTCCAGAGTCGAGATGTACAGACTAGGTTTGGGGTGTCAAAGAATCGTAGCCACAGAGTGTCACTGTGATCAATGCCAGTACACTTGGTTTCTGAAAGGCTGGGTTTGTCCCCAACAGTGGTGCCACCAGCAGTGATGCCACCAGCACGACCGGCAAGCTCACACACGCACGAACAGGTGGAAAGTTCGTTCTCAACGGTGAGAGTTTCTGTTTTCGTTGCTTTTGGATGCTTTCCCGGCATCCAGGTATGCACCACCTATACCTGGCAACCAGTGGTTCCAATGACAAAAACCATAGACCTATATAGAAACCCTGGTTCCAACGGTGGGTTCCATTGTCGGGTCCTGTCATACCGAACCTGAGGAGGTAACCTCCTGGAGGTGTAGGGAGTAGATGGGATTCACTGACTACTGTGTGGGGAGAAACCAAACGTCGCCCTGAAGTCTCCCTGAAGTCGCTGTCTCTTCTTTGAGGTCCCAAAGGAGCCTCAGCTGTTGTGACCAGCGCGGGAAGAGGTCCCCTCCCTTCAAAGACGCTGTGACCCAGGACCTCCGGGGAGGGACACCTCAGAGGTGACCCCTTTGAAGGAGGGACATGGGAGTTTTGTCACGTGCTTTTCTCGTGTGGAACGAACATGTGTACGCGATTGGTTTCTGGCCCACGAAGAGGTTTGGATGTGGGACAGATCCCGTAAAACCACCGAAGAGGTTTGGATGTGGGACAGGAGCCCTATGGTTGGAATCGATGCGGGTTTGAGGCAGTCTCGGAGAGTCTCGGGAAAATGATGCATACTTATAGACTACCCCGAAGTGGTATAGTGGTAGTCATCAGGAAAATTCTCGTGTCGGTGGGGTAGTTCGACTCTCACGGAACAATCCACAATTCTGCAGTATTTTGGGAGAAACCTGACAGAACCAGTTTTGTTTTTGAAGGTGTATTTTGACAGAGCCCAGTCTTTTGACTCTCACCTTCGTGTCATCCTTCCCCTTCCGACCCGCCGCGGTTACGACCCGCCGCGTCGGGTGGTTGGTGTCCTAAAGACACGGGCACGAACTCCGCCGCCGGACACCGCGTCTACCCAGATGCGACCCCCTGGGCCTGAATCTACCTGGACCTTCCAGTCGAGGTGTTGATCAACAGCCTCGTAAAGAGGTCAAGGGGTGCCCTTCCAACCACCGGACTTGGTGGAAGGTCCTGGTATGGAGGGGTCTGGGGTTTCTCACCAATCCCTATGGTTTGGTTCGGGACCAGGAGTCGGGCGTCGAACCACGGAGCGTCTGGGCAGCGCCGGTGTTCCGCACTTTCGCACCTTTGCCCCCGCGGAATGCGGTGTCCGAGGACTCCTTCAAGTACTTGAACAAGCAGGCGGGCGGAGCTGCGGCGGAGCTGGTGGAGCTGTTGGAGCTCAGTGTTCTGGCTGGGTTGAGCTGAGAAGAGCTAGAAGATCATGTCAAACACTGGGCTATAAAAACCTAGACCCCAAAGCACTGAAAAAGACGTGGTGTGTTGTCCTGCCTGAGAACAAGCACATCAACAAAACGATGAAAACATCCAGACATGTCTAGCTCCTCGCCATCTTCACCGAGTCAGTTGTCTTTTTCGTTCAGGAGTCTCCGAATGAAGTGGAGGACTTCGAGGCCACCTTGGCCGCGATGGACGCCGTAGGCGCGCCACCGCCGATACCACGAGCGGAGCGAGTGAGCGGTTTAGTGGCGGTGAGGCTATTGATGTGAACAAAGAGGGTGACGTAAGAAACCAAGTGCTTGCCCCCGACCATCGTTTCCTTGCAGGTTTACATGACTGGTAGAGGATTCCAGCTTGGAGAGGTGTTGCCAGTGTTTCAACAGGTGACACCTGTGAATGACAGGGGGTGCTCGCCCACCCTTTTTGACTCCGTACATCACTGGATGTCCAGCGTGATCCTCGCATGCCCAGGTACAAGATGCCCACGTGTTTACAAAACTACCAACAAAGGTTGAACTGCCTTATAGCCCATCCCATATGTACCGGGCCACTACAGGGTCCGAACGTGAAGCGACCTCTCAACCTCTCTTGACCCACCCAGACGCTCCAAACAGCCCTTGGTCTCTCAAAACCTAAGTATTTGAGACCCCTGACCCCTCCATATGAGGGTCCGACCCCTCCACATGAGGGCCCACGAGCGTCTGGGCAGACACGATCCTCCGTGAGTTCACAGTCCTCTCCCGGTCCCTCCAAACCCGATTGGTGAGAACCCCCAGACCCAGACCCCTCCACAGACCTGGGGTCCCACAAGGAGGAGGAGCGGTTTGAGTAGTCCTTCAAGGCCAAACAAGCAATCAGAGCGCCTCCAAAGCAGTCAAAGCCCTCCAGAGCCATGGCGACAATGCTGCAGCCCTGGGCGATGCAATTCTTGAAGTCACAGAGATGACAGGCCATGAGCTTAAGCAGATCAAGCGAGCAAGGACAGCCCTGGGACGAGCTCACCCGCAGCACCACAAGTGGTGAGGTCATCGTTGGAGACAACCACTTGCTGGACAATGATGCAGAATTTGCATCATTGTCAAGGTATTGGGCGCTGGAATTGCTGAAGATACTGTTGTGAGTGGTGCGATAGCCGGTCTTGGTGGCATCATTGACTCAGATTTTTTCTGAGTCAATTACTGTAACGAAAGTGCTTTCGAAGATTGCCACACACACTGGCCAAGTCATATGCTCCAACAAAAATGTGACCACCACTCTTGGTGACATCGTTGACTCCGAGCTATTGCTCGTAGTCGAGATTCCGTCCAAATGAAACGCACATTCTTGAGAACGCAAGCTTGAGGTGTGCGAAACATTGGCGAAGCTGACCGTCCCAGACACAGTGACCCACATTTGGAACGGTGCCTTTTTCAAGTGAGCCTCTCCACCGTGTGGCAAGGGGGGGGAAGGTCTGGACCCGAAGCCAAAGCTTGCTTAGCATTGCTGATCAGGTGATGTTCTATGTTCCCTATGGTTCAATCCCCTGGAGAATGGTCTTTTCTTTTTTCCAGGTTCCTGGACAGCAAATCCAAGTGGTCAGAGATTGCGTCGATTTGCCAGCACCACGGATTCCGGGTGTCCAGTAATTGTCGCCCCGAAAAGAGGTGATGTATGAAAGGGGTGTCCATGAAAACCACCCCTGACTGGGGTTTTCCAGACATCTTCCAAGGTCCCCCATCCCAGCACCTCTGGGGGGGCATGGTCATCGAAAGAACGCGCTGTGCTGCCGAACCGTCGAAAGCGAAGCGTGTCTCATCGAAGATTCCGACTCACGGCACGGTAGACCCGAGCGAACAAAGAGTTGTTGGGTGTTTTCATGGTGTGTCATACCAAAAGACTGAAACACCATGAAACACCAGCAAGAAGCAAGAAACACAGACGTATAGTGAAACTGTTTTATGAGACTAACATTCACCATCATTCACAATCAACAATCGTTGATCGTCATTGAGCCATAATTGGTGAGTTATATAGCTTGGGAGCTCTAGCTGCGTCCGGACTGGATGTTGTTCCAGTATTGGCCAGTTGTCGCGGATCGATCCAAAGGGTTTTTTTTACCGAGTCTGCCCTAAGAGGAAGCAGAAACATGTTGTATAACGAGCTGGTAAAAGAGCTGCTGCTTGCAAGACGAGAAGATTCTGAGCAAAATTGACCAATTCACACTTGGGAGCAATTGCCCACATCTTCTGCTAGAACGGCTCAACTTAGACTGCCAAGCACAAGCTGACATCTACCAAAAACTCCTCCGGTGAGCACAGCATGTCCATGAATCATATTTAGCTCATTGGTTTGCTTCAGAGTCACCAAGTGTGTGCCCGTGGTTCTTCCAATGGAACTGGTTTTCCTTCGCCTCCTTGGCGCTGGGAACCGGCACACACAGCACGGCACGGCCGATGGGAGGCGTTCTGATGGCCGCCGCTGCCATGGGCAGCCTGGTTCTGAACGCAGGCGTTGGCGTGGCAGGCGCCTTCATCGTGAAGGGGGCGACGGAGAAGCCGGAGGATGGATGGATAGCCTTCGGTATCTTGGCAGCCTTGCCTTTCGTGTGTTGCACCGCCCAGTACTGGTTCTGGCGACGGCGAGCACGAGAACTGAGTGGAGAGCCTGAATGCGAAGTGCTTTGCGTAGCACCCGCGTGCATCTTTGCACCGCTGGGATTTTTGGTGGGCTTTTTGAGTGCCTACCTTCGGCTGCATTTTGCACCAGGCATCAATGGCAGAACATGAGCCACAAGAGCTCAAGCCATTTGGCTGCCTTCCTTGAAACTCCGAGCTGCAAGCAGCGGTTCAGACTGTGCCCAAGAGAAAGGGAAACTCCAACGGTATCATGAATGGTTGTGTGTGTTGGAATTGGATGTGCTCTTCTAAAGTCTTCTGAAGACAGATACTGTATACAATTTCTGAAAGCAAATCATGAATGCGTGCATGCGGACGATTCAATACCGGTCGCTGAATCATGCACCCTTCGCCCGCCCCGGCGGTGCCCCAACCTGATGGAAGCAAGAACTGATGGTGTACTGATCCGACCGATCGTGTTTAGGTTTTGGCGGATGTCAACATGACAAGACATCTCTGAAGATTGCGACCCACCCGGCCACAGTAGCGCAGTATATGATCCTCCATGTGAGCCTATCCGCAGACTATCTTTCAGCTTCCAATCCGCTGGCTGACCTCCAATCCACCAGGCCTTTCGAAGACGGAGGTCACTCAAATCTTCCGCACCCTTGCAGCCATTCTCCACCTGGGCAACGTGCCTTGCACCGAACACAGCGGAGCGAACGGGTGGAGCACCAACACCAACCCCCCAGAGAATCCAACGGTTGACTCATTCACGACGTAACCCCCAACGAACGGGTCGTCGTGGTGGTGAATGATATGTTTTGTTGATGTTCATCAAGTCACGGAAGTTCAGGGACGACAACAGCAACATGGACGCCCCCCAAACTGATCAAAATGTGAACTTGATCCTACATACAGTCCTATATTTGGGGTCACTGGGACTTCTGGGAGTTGTTGGGAAGCAGAGTGGAAAGTCGAAGTTGAGTCGATGTAGAGTCCAACAGCGCTTCTAAGGGCTGCCCAGTCATGGAGACCTTCTCTCGGTAGTGCGCGGTTCTCCCAGCCAGGTGACCCCGCAAGGAAGCAGAAATATGCCTATGTTTTCGTACGGTTTGCTAACGCTTGAGATAGTTGGCGCTTCACCTCCGCAAAAAGGTGGCCAAACACCACCCCATCCCCGATCCCGCCCCTTGATGCCACCACCCCTTGATGCCGCCCCTGATGCCACCTCCCTGAACCCCCCTGACCGTCGCTCGTTCCTTCCAAGGTCACCTTCGAGTCCGTCACTGGGCCGAGACCGACGCGACGCGACACCGGTCGACGCGACCACGGATCGGCTCGGTGAGGCCGAACGGCCCGAGACCGGTGGGGTTGAAGGACTTGAGGCGAAGAGTCCCTGAACTCGACCCTTGCCCGGCCCTGGACTCCAGGAGATGCAGGGGTTGGTAGCCTCGTTCATGGAAGGTGGTCGGTACCCTTCAAATCGGTTTTGAGGGACCAAGGCCTCTTTGGAGCGGCTGGGAAGAAAGGGAACATGAGGGTTGCAACATGTTGCGAATATCTTTGGAAGGAAGAAGTGGTTCGGTGGCTGCACTGGCTGTCATAGGGGTGGAATGGAACTCATTTGGAAAGGTTGCAAATTGTTTGATGAAGTTTCGGATCACAGTTTCTTTAAAGGAATGATGATCTGCCATAGAATGCAATAGACAGTAGAGCAGCAGCTCGAATGGAATTGCTTGATATAAAGACTGAACTGCCAAATCTCAGCTGTTCGAAACCCCATTCCGAACCCGTTCTTGTTTTCCGCCGAACGCCAGGCGGACACATGGTGGGTTGGAACATGGGCTATATATACCCTAGGAGTCCTGGAACCGACTATTTTGGGGACCACTGAAGTAAAGGATCTTCCTGACCCCGGGTCACTTAATGACCCTTAAATTGGGTCATTTAAAGACCATTTATAAATGGTCTTGGACTCCCATTTGGGTGTGTGATCTGCAGGGGATGAGTTGATCTGGGGTAGCCAGGCAGGCCTGCCTCTGGCGTCATGAAGGAGACGATGCGCAAAGTCGCTCCATGTAGGCCATATATTCCTACATTGACCCCTCTGGCACCACCCCAATGTACCAGGACCCTCCAGTCGGGGTGCCCTGTCTGGAAGCCTAGGCCGGTAGTGTGGGGTAGTCCAGCCAGGACACCCCTTAGAGGGTCCTGGTATAGGCATATCATATGTGGCATACATGGAGTGTCTGGGTTTGATCAACCCCCCCCCCAACCAAAAAGACCTCCATCCTCCGGACCACGGCGGACGGCCAATCAGCGCGAACGTCAGCGTGTCGGACCACGGTCTTAGGCTGGTGAGTCCAGCCATGTGGTGGAGAAAGGCCCCGGCGAACGGGTGGGGTGTCCAGGAGGGAGACAGGCGGTCCCCCTTGGAGAAAAGATCCTGAAATCCAAAACACACACATCAGTTGACCCAGTGAAGAAAGCCCGGAGAACCACCCATGCCATCTTACCCCAGTCCATCATCTTCAATCCCCCCACGGTAGTTCCTTCGTGGATGTTGGAATACCCCGCATTCTGAGACCACAGCAGACACGACAGGGCCGTCCCAAAATCAGACACGACACGAGACGACCGTTCTTGACCGTTGGCCGTTCTCGGCCAATCGGAAGACGGAGAAAACACCGTTGGGCAGTTCGTCAGGAAGAAAACGTTCGGATAAAAAGAAAAATCGATGACGATTTTCAATCACCTAAGCCAGACATTCCATGAGACTGGCATATATGCCGCCCCAGAAAGACCCCCATATACACCTAATAGCCTATGCCGCAAGTGCAAAACTGGACTTGATGATGGGTTGGTGCCCTGTCTGGAAGCCTATTGGTAGTGTGGGGTAGCCCAGCCAGGACACCCAGACTGGATGGTCCTGGTATGTGTTTTTCACCTATTGAGATGAGGTTCTGTTCTTTTTGGCACGTCCGTCCTCCACTCCTTTCCCAGGCCCTTCGTCCCCCTTGGCCCTGGCCGCGCAGCTGCTGGGCGTCGATGCGCAGCGCTTGCCCACGGCGCGCGTCACCGGGGCGGAGCTCGGGGGGATCCTGAAGACTGGGAGAATTGGGTTACCCAGACCCAGACGCTCAAAGGTTGGTGGGCTGCTCAGTTGCACCCAGACGATCATGGACCCGAATCCCTCTGGAGGGGTCTGGGGTTTCTCACCAATCCCTAGCCCTAGAAGTCCAAAGACTATTTTAGGCACCACCCAAGTAAAGGAAGTTCCTTTTCGGATCACCTAAAGACCGTTTAAAAATAGTCTTGGACTCCCAGGGCTAGAATGTGAGGGACCCGCCCGGAACTTCAGGCGTCGTGGTTTTCGTCGTCGACGGAGCGGAGGAACGGGTAGGAGGTCGAAAGGAGGTCTTTAGGTCGACTCGATGTGACCCGAGGAACTGGGAATGTCTTGAAACCTTCAGTTGGTCCAAAATATCGTCGGTTCCTGGACTTCTATATACCCAGACGCTCCAAACAGCCCTTGGTCTCTCAAAACCTAGGGATTTGAGACCCCTGACCCCTCCATATGAGGGTCCGACCCCTCCATATGAGGGCCCATGAGCGTCTATATAGGGTATATATATCCTAGACAACCATGAAGACGGGCATGCGGCTTGTGTGGAGACCACATACCCCATATACCTATAGACCATATACAATTTATCCATGTCAGCCCAGATTCCGTTGCTGGGAGCCATGGAGCCGTTGGTCCCCCACCGGTGTTGGATCGCGAGCTGTTGTAGCTTTGTCTCGAAAAAACCATCCAAACGCCACAACCCTGTTAGCACAGAGCTACGAATGGCACCACGGACCTGATCTCTCTCTCTCTCTCTCGTAGAATTCGCACCCTCTCGCAGCTGCTGCGATCGATTTGCTGCTTCACCCCCTCGCAGGCCCTGACGCGCCGCGTGCGGCAGACGCCCGAGGGCTCCATCACGTCGACCCTGACGGCGCCCAAAGCGGCGAACGGACGAGCCCCGGAGACACGGAGAGCGGAGGTGGCTGAGACCCGGTAGGGGATGTCCGACTGAAAGTCCAGGAACTGACGAGATTTGGACCGACTTTAAGGTTTCAGGACATTCCTTTTGGTCACCCTAGAAGTCCAAAGACTATATTTTGACTGGCTGGAGTAAAGGAAGTTCCCTTTCAATTCCCCTAAAGACCATTCTTTTTCGAGTCGACTGGACTCCCAGAAGATGTGGGTTACGGACTGTCGATCAGGTGCTTCCTGTGTTTCCCGTCCGTCCGGTGGTGAGGCCCACCGGGAATGGGTCTACCGCCGAACCGACCGGAGGGTGCAGGTCTAGACTACAAAGGAACTCCAGGAAGGTCAGAACTACAGATTGGTGCAGGTCTATGGTAGACTACAGTATTCTGGAAACTGTAGACTTCTATTAGGTCAGAACTACTGTAGACTTCCACTGGTATAACTACTGTAGACAGACTTCTATCTATAGTTCTGACCTCATGAGACGGCACCCGCACTTGGAGACGCTCAGGAGACGCCTTGGCGCGCCATTTGCCGCTTGGCGGAGCGACGGCGACGAAGCGTGACGACGTGGACGTGACCGGCGACGTGACCGGGGACGGACGGGCGGACGTGGCGTGACGTGACCGGGGAGCGCGCCACCCGTTGGGATGGAAGTTGGAGAGTAAGAACAGCTTCACAAGTCTATGGTGAAGAAGAAACCCTAAGGCATCACAAGTGAGGTTTCCAGATTGAACCCGGCATGGCATCAAAACCCGGCATGGCATTCACCATGGCTTCAGAAGTCTATTGCCCGGTTGAATCCCCGATCACGAAGGTGTCGGGTCCAACCCCGGCACCAAGGCTTCTAAGGGTAAGCAACAAGACGGGGAAACACCCCCAGGAAGTACTGTATGGTCAGTATATCATCGGGCCGGAGAATGAGGCACTCAGAAAGGGCTTCATTTTTTGGATCCTCCGGCCCGGCATCGAAGGTGTCATCCGGGTGGACCGACATCGGTTCGGAAACGACTTCAGTTCCGAACCGACCAGAACTGGTCGCCGGGACGGAAGCGTCCCGGTGGACTGAGCCCCGAGCCCCCCCCGACTTCCCGGTGCCACGAGAAGGCGCTTCGGGGTCAGGTTTTGGCAGCAGAGGTTCTTCAGAACCCGAACGAAATCGAACTATAGACTATAATCGCTATACAGATCGTACCCCAGGTGACGATCTATGTCCGAGTGACCAAGTCACGATCCACCTCTGTTGGCCGCCTGGCCACTCCGTCATCGCCTTTTGCTGGGATTGATAGAGAAGGCCTCTCGAGGCATGCGCACGAAACCGCGCGCGCGGGTGCGCGATGTCTCGGCGCCAACAGAAGGTACCATGCCGTGTTCAACTACATCGTCCAACGCTCCAACACCACCATTGGCTTTCAGCCGAACCTGAGCTTTTGTGCCGAACTGAGAAGCAACGGACATCGAACTGGGCGGAGTGCGAGAGGTGTACAGTTCAACGTGTTGAGTCTCACCCCGGATGTGTTCGTGATGAGACCCGGAGTCTGGAACCCTACCCCAATCTACCCCATATGCCACGCATGCCACACTGCTTTTGAGTGAGGTTTGTGGGAAACCCAACTTACACTTCAGAAGCGATGACTTCTCCCGATTCCGCCGTTCGCACCGAGTTTAATCCGCGCCTTCGCAGGTGGTGTGTTGGACATCTTCGGCTTCGAGTTCTTCCAGCCGCGACGCGGAACACGCGAGCGACGCGGGTTCCGCGGGTTTTGACCTTCGTCCTTCGACCGGCTCCGGCGACGACGTAGGACGTAGGGTTTTTGTGAGGACTCCGGAGAAGCCAGGCAAGTGCCGATGTGGTTGGAATCGGCCTCGCAGCTTGCAGCTTGCAACCCCCCAAAGTGGCTTTGAGACGGTCCAGGGTCCAAACGTTAGCAAAGAAGATCAGCTTCTTTCACATTCTTCTGAAGGCGTCGGGCCGAGAAAAAACGAGTCTTTGAAAGCGTAAAAGTCTTGCAACACCAAAAACTAGCCAAGCTCAAACCACGCTCCGCGGCCAATGGGGACAGTGTGTCACCACCACCTCAAAGGGGCCTTCGGAAGACCATCGCTCCATCGCGCTTTGGCGTGCGGAAGGGCGTTTCCCCTCCCGTTTCGGTTCGGAAGGTGGGAAGGGCCCGAGGGCCCCTCCGTCCTGACGGTCCTGACGTTTCGGCGGTTCGAGGTGGAACTCCTTGGAACAACTCTGCATCAACTACACCAACGAGCTCCTGCAGCAGCGCCTCGGGCGGTCGGAAGGTGTCGGTTCACGCGAGGCCGCGACGCCGGTGGGGTGTCGGACGCGTCCCCATTAAGCTTCCTCTGCTGGTGGTTTCGGGTATGGGCGGTTTCGGAAAAAAAAGGAAGGTGCCCAAAAAAGACACGGAAAGACTGAAAGACTATCTATATTAGACAGTCAGGGCCAGGGAATGCACATGTGGATTCTCGGATGTTTTGTAAAAACTTAAGTTTGAGATCTTTGGATCTCTTTTGAGTCCTTTGTTGCCCAGACGCTCCAAACAACCCTTGGTCCCTCAAAACCATAGGGATTCCAGGGTCCGGACCCCTCCATATGAGGGTACGGCCCCTACTTAGCAGGGTCCATGAGCGTTTGGGTGAGTATAGTAACTATTCACATGCTGCGGGCGGCGGCCGACGAGCCGAGAGCCGAGCTTGCTTCTCTCCCGGGTCGCCGGGGATGGTTTGTGTAAAAAGGATCCTGAAAAACCAGTGGCTCAGTTCTTCGTGTTAAAGCCGCCCATAGACTTCATCCAGGACCACGGAAGGGGTGGTGATTGGATGGCAAATACATAGTCAGGGGTGTCCATAAACCACCCTTTCACTCCGTGGTGGATGAAGTCTCCAATTCCAAGAGAGGTTTGAGGTCGACCTGAGAGGCTTCGCGGGCCCTTCGGCGGTCCAACCGCGGATCTCCTGCGACTCCGTCCGCGTCCGGCCGACCCGACCCGGAGCGGAGCGCGGTCCGCGAGGTCCGGCGTGAGCGCCGTCCGGTGTGGCCGTCCGGTATCCCTGGAATCAGATGCCACCGATGTGTGGTAAGGTTCTCCCTAGACTTCCAAGACTTCCATAAAGCCTATATTTAAATTAATGGTGGTTGGAAGCCTAGGGTTCTGGTACACCGTGCGTCTCGGCATTTGGAGCTCTTCATGGGGTCTTCGTGCTCCGGCGTTCATCCCGGAGCATCTTCGGTCGGTCGTGAGGTCGTGACCTCGTTCGTGCCCCGTGTGTGAGAACGCTCAGCGTTTGGGGAGAGATACCCTCCGTCTTCCACAACGGGGAGCCCAACACTTCTGGTTTTCCATCCCACGCTCCGACACTTGTTCCGGCGCCGACACAGCGAATGAGACCAGCGAGGTACTTCAACGAATTCATCTTCCAAAATGAGACCAGCCTCTACGAGGCCCCCCGGACGCGTCGTGTCCGAGTGCCCGGGTGAAGCACGTAGGGCGTCAGGGGCAATGGCGGCGAGCTTATGCCCGGTGCCGAATGGAGCAGAGGAAGGAGATTTTGGGCGGTCCGGCGAGCATCCGGTGAGTGAAGAAGAATGCGCTGGGTGCCTCCTAGATGAACTGGAACAAAAGGACAGTATACGGGACATTACGGGACCGTGTTTATTCATTCTTCATTAATCGAATCATGAACAATCTACACGTTCGATATGAGTTGATCCTTCAGTTGACAGGACTTGGTGGCCGGACTGACGCCGGACTGACGCCTGTTGGTTCAAAGCGACCGGTCGATCGGTTGAAGTGGGGACGGTGGTGTACGCCTACCTCAACCATCAAGACGAGCATATACCAGCACCCGAGACCTGCCAGGTCACCACCAGGTCCACTTTTAAGTCAGTAAAAGCCTCCATTTCGGAGACCCGTATACATATATAATGTCCATATAGCACATGGAATCGCAACAAGGCCAAACAAGTCAGCGAGGTACTCCAACTCCTGCTAACAGTGGTCGTTCGCCATGGCAAAGAGACTATCAGCACTGCAGGTCAATGGCGAGATGATTTCTGTTGAAGTTACGCCGGAGATGCCCGTGAAAGAGCTGAAGCAGCAGATCAAAGAGACGGCAGGTAGAGCCTGGGATGAGGTGACACACAGCACCACAAGCGTAGAGATTCTTGTTGGAGACCAGCTGCTGGACAATGATGAGACGGTGGCAGATGCAGGGCTCGCTACAGATGCTGCCGTGAGTGTTGTCTTCAAACCAAACAAAATGATATGCTCCAACAGAGATGCGATCGACGCTCTCAAAGGCATCGTTGACTCCGAACTCTTGTTTGTGGTCGAAATTCCACATGGTGAAACAGAGATTTGTGAAAGTGCTTTTGCGGATTGCAGTGTTTTGGCGAGCTTAATCATCCCGGACTCAGTGACCCACATTGAGAACGATGCCTTTCGGGATTGCAGTTCTTTGGTGAACTTGACCATCCCGAATTCAGTGACCCACATTGGAGATTACGCGTTCCTGCGTTGCAGGTCTTTGGCGAACTTGAGCATCCTGACTTCAGTGACACACATCGGAGGTGCTGCCTTTGGGCATTGCATCTCCTTGGCGAAGTTGACCATCCCAGACTCTGTGACCCACATCGGGTATGGTGCCTTTGAGGGTTGCAGTGCTTTGGCAACATTGTCTATCCCGAACTCAGTGACGCGCATTGAGGATTATGCGTTTGCAATTTGCACCTCTTTGGCAAGCTTGACCATCCCGGACTCAGTGACCCACATTGGGGATGGTGCCTTTCGGGATTGCAGCTCTTTGGCGAACTTGACCATCCCGGAC